TTAGAGACCAGAAGGCAATATTTTACAGTTAGGGTGGCCAAAATCTGGAACCAGCTTCCCAGGGAAGTGGTCCTTGCCCCTACCTTGGGCAAATTCAAGAGGAGGTTGGATGATCACCTGTCTGGGGTCTTGTGAACCCAGCATTCATTCCTGCCTGTGGCAGGGGGTCAGGTTAGATGATCTGTTCAGGTCCCTCCTGACCCTAGCTACTATGAAACTATGAATATTGTCATTTATTTGAGAGTAAGTACTCCTTCACCTCTGTTTATTTTTCTAACCAACAGTAATGAAAAATGAGGTTGTGGAATATTGGTGTCTCTCTCCTCAGTTTTAGTCTGAGGACTGCTGAAAAAAATACAGTATTCAAATGAATCTTTGAGCATCATATGACTGAAATAACTAGTAGGTATGTGTTTTGAGAGTCCTTTGTACCCAAGGCATTTCTGTTACAGTCTGTGCATATGTGCTAGACCTTTTAGCTATTGAATTGTGCAAGGTCTACCTTTCTGTCTATATGTATATACTTTCAGTTCTGGAAAAAATGAGGAAATGTTTTTATATATAAATACACTCCTTGGAAAAATGCAGAGGCTTCTATGTATTATATAGAAAAGCATAACTAATCTGTTCCCCACCAGAAGAACATAAGGGGGAACAGATAAGTTCTTTAGTCAATCAAATGAGGAACTTAAGTGAAGGATTTGGTAACTACAAACAAATATCATTTGAGTAGATTGTATTGTTGTCAAGACAAATGCAAATTTTCTTGAAAAATTTCTCAGATGCTAAATTTCACAATGTAAACTTGTGGGAGGATCCATGATCTTTTTGTTAAAGCACTGTCTGGGTATCAGGAGATCTGTGTTCAGTACCTAACACAGTCACAGACTTGCCGTAGGACAAATCACTTGATTTCTTTGCACCTTAATACTGTATCTATGTAAACATGCAGGTACTTTAATACAAGCAGAAATATTGGACTTGAGGCAGGAACGTCCTATATCCTGCACTGGTAAGACTATCAAACATCCAGTCTACTGGGTCTGGTCTCCAGATGTGGGTAAACTGGCTTGCAGGACTTCTCTCCGGTCAGACAACTCACTTCTAGATCCAATCCTCCAGATTTCTTGCTGTGACTGATGGAGCTGCTGTGCCTCTTGCCTGCTACAAAATTTCCAATTTTTGATTGCCACTTAGCATTCAAATTGATGGTAGGACAACATTAGCTGGCTCCCCCCACCCCCATGCTAGCAGAAGATGCCTTTTAACGTTTCTGTGTCTTCTGCTGTGGTTGCTTTAGCAGCTGTTTCTTCTCAGGTTGTACTTTATGGTCTGGTGGGCCAGCTGCAGCACTGGAAACATGTGGAGCCACTAGAAGTGTGATGGTGTAAAAATCTGGGTGGTGGGCAATGGCCGCTGCCTTCTAAACATTTGCCAGCAGAAGCAGGCAAGTACCCAGAAGCCTTAAATCTGGCTGGAAAATGTCACTGTAAGGAAGTGTTCTGCCTGCAGAGGGCTGAGACCCAGCTGCAGGTAGTCAACAGGTAAGAGTCTGCCTGGCTGGAAGCCTGGAGGCCAGATATAACTGGTGATCAGTAAGTAAAAGTGAAGCTACAGATTTGAGTTCTGGGAACAAAGGTCAAAGGGGAGAGAAGGGAGGTGGTTGTGTGAGAAGTACAGTCTGAGTTGTGCTCCTTCTGCTTATTGTCCCACACTTTCCTCCCCAGGTCTGAAGAAAGGTCACAGGTTTTGGTTTGGTTTGTC